CCCCCCCCCCCCCCCAACCCCACCAGGTGGCCACCAGCACGGATGTATTTCTGTTCGACCTGATCGCTCTGTTGGGTCGCGCGGCGAGCCTTGAAGTCTCTCGCCAGTTCGATGCCACCGTGGAACGCCTCCTCACCGACCCCCACATCGTGAAGCTTGGCTTCTCCTTCGCCCACGACGCGACCGCCCTGCGCAAGACCTTCCCCGCCGCGAGGGGGTTCCGGCGGATAGCTGCCTTGCTGGAGGTGGGGTGTGTGTTGGCCTTTGCCATGGTGTCGGTGTCGGTGTTGTTGCTGTTGCTGTCGTTGGTGGTGGTGGTGGCGGTGGTCGTGGTAGTTTATTGCTGATGGCGGTGGAACTCGTCAGCTCAATTTTGGTCCTCGTGTGTGCTTGCTTGGTTGGAGAGAAGAGGAGCGACAGTCACGGGCCACCTGTCACGAAACACGCGCACTGCACATGGAACAAAATACTCGGAGCTAAGTTTCCAAAGAGTGTCATGATTTTGGCGGGATGGGTGTTGCCTGGTCCCGTCCGTCTGTGGTGGCGTCGATGTCATTTGCGAAATCTTGGCAATGTTGCTGTTAACGTTCGTTTCGTAATGTAGGAGCGTTTTGTCCTGAACCCCTTGGGTGCTCTCTCCGACTCCACCCCCCCCTCTCCCTCTCTCCCTCTGTCATGACTGCCCCAACCGAATCAGGGTACGTCATAGGTCCAAAATCTATGACTCAGCTTAACCTTGTCCCGCCCCTTTTCGTCGAATTCACGCTCACAAAACCATTCGCATGTATTGCGCCGACTACGTACAACACATCCGCCCTACATATCATCATATCGTTGCGACCGTTTTTTTTTTTGCCGCACTCTCCCCCAGGTGGGAGAACTGAGCTCCGCCGTCTTGGGACGGAGCACTCCGTCTTTGTCCAAGACCTGCGAGGCGTGGCTGGGCAAGCCCCTGGACAAGACGGAGTGCGCGTCGAAGTGGGACGTGAGGTGCGAAGTTAGGAATGGGGGCGAGAATGAATGAGTTGTGTGCATGTGTGTCTGTTATTAGCATCGATCGCGCTAACCGGCCGACCAATGAAAAGACGTCAGTCTCAGTACGGCTGAAAACACAAAACGCTTCTAAGTGCCATTAGCTGGGGCCCTATGAGGGGGACCCCGTGAGGGGGAGGCATCGGGGAGGCTAAGCTATGCGTGTGTGTGTGTGTGAGGGATGCGGCGAGTGAGGTTGGGGGGAAGGACACACTAGGAGGGATGTTGGGCAGCAGGTAATTGTTCTGATTGAAGTGACTTGACGACGGTGGGATTGTTGTTGTTGTGCTAGCTTCCTTCATCGTTTTGGTCCGTCTGACAACGTCACGGATCAGATGACGAGCATGACATGCAGTTGGTTCTTGAGAGATACACCCAGCAGTCGATCTATCGATTGAGTAGGTCGTCTACCTGTGGATATACATGAAACCGACAGCGAGACGCCTTCCCTGCATCCCTGCCGTGCGCGCGTAGTACCTCTTTCGGCGCCTGCTGGCTTACTGCTCACGCTCATTCTATCGTGGTGGTGGACTATTCTCTCTCTCTCTCTCTCTCTCTCTCTCTCCTCTCTCTTAAGACTCTCTCTCTCCCTCTCTTTCTCATAGACTCTCTCTTAGACTCAACTCTTTTCTCTCTCTCTTTTAGACGTTCATTGCCTTCTTGAACCAATAAACGCAACGCGTCAATGACTCCCGTACAAAATGTATACAGAAAAATTATACAACGATTTATTTGCTAACCGTGTCTTTTTTTCCAACCTTTTTTTTTGTCGTTCGTCCCCCCTTCTCTCTTGCTCCACGATCCGAAACCAAGGCCGTTGACGGTAGATCAGGTGATGTATGCCGCCCTCGACGCGCACTGCCTGGTGGGGGTCTTCGAGGAGATGCTGCTCGAGAGGGGGGGTCGGCTCGCCGCCACGCCGGGGACCCGAAGCGGCGGCCGCGGCAGCGGCAGCGAAAACCCGCACCGGTGGTGGACCAGCCGGCTCGTGGCAAACATCGATGGGCCAAGCAGCCACCACAACCGCTGATTTTGGATGGAATCGGTTTGGGGTGTTGCTCGATTGCGATCAGAGAGTACGGATGGACCAAGCAGCAACCAACCAAATCGTCGATTTTGGTTGGATCGATCTTGGGTGTTATTCGATTGCGATTAGACAGCACGGGTGGGCCAAGCAGCAACCAACCAAATCGTCGATTTTGGTTGGATCGATCTTGGGTGTTATTCGATTGCGATTAGACAGCACGGGTGGGCCAAGCAGCAACCAACCAAATCGTCGATTTTGGTTGGATCGATCTTGGGTGTTATTCGATTGCGATTAGACAGTACGGAAAGACCAAGCAACAACCAAACAATCGTTGGTTTTGATTGATTCGATCTTGGGTGTTATTCGATTGCGATCAGACCTCACGGACGGCCACGCACAAGAGAAAGGGACAACACGAGGGCAAGGAGCGCAGGGGGAGAAGTGGCTTTTGGACGAGATAAGGGGCGGCAAGGAAAATGGCCTTTTCCCCCTCGTTCGAATCCTTGAGGAGTTATCGAGAGAGGGCACCAGCGACAGCAGCTGGAGAAACGAGGTTCTGTGCGATGACGCCCTGGAAGCAAGCAGGCTTTCCCCTTCGCATGCCGCTGATTCCCTTTCTGCCTCGTCTTCTTAGATGTATGACAAATATTAGGGTTCTTGCTCTCGTTCTCTTCTCTGCATTGGCCATTTCTTTTTCAGCAGAGAGAGAGGCGACAAAAGGCTGGCGTGTGTTTTTCTAGTTTACTGTTTTCTTCTTAAACAAACTCACCTCCATCTTGGTGAACACATCGAACGAATTTAAGTGAAAGTTTACTCCTCCCTTTTCTCTTCGGATGATGTTTTCTCTAATAGCACTTTAGCGCTTCAGGGGGGACGGGGAACGGGAAACTGGGTGAGGGGATTGCGTGAGGCTTGGCACGAGGTCCGAGTTCAAAAATAATTGGAGCTACAGCATAGCTCAAAATCTCGTGACGTTTCCAGCGTCATTTTGTTGAAGGACCGCAACGGACGATCGACGACGCGCATACTGTGTGGCGCCTTCAGTCTTTCTTTTGTTTTCAGAGCTTTTATGGTTGGTTTTGCACTACATGTTTTTTTTACGATCCGCTGTTCGGTGTGGTTGTGACTTCTCCGTACGATCACTCGTGCTCCGTCTGATCGACTTTACTTCCAGACGATACAACGACGCTGCGTGGTACATACAACGCGTCGTATTCTTGGTTGCCGACATGAATGGCTTCCTTTGGTCGAGCGAGGTGTTTCTTGCCGTTGTTGTGCTGCCGGCGTTGGTTGTCGAAAGTCTGCTGGGTGCAAAATCAACGGAGGGTGGAGGGGCGAGAGGCCTGTTGTGCCGTTGGCGGCGACTCATGCGTTTGTCAGACTTAAGGGAGCGGTCAGACTGCGAGGCAAGGCGAAAACGTGTTTTTCCAGCGAGAGGCTGGCCATCGCCACAAGCAGCCGTGGGGCCACACACATGGTACTACGGACCCCTCCCCCTCCCCTAAAAGCGTGCCGACAAGAGGCCGCGTGTCCCTTGTTGACCGCACACGGGTGGAGCACGTCATCAACCGAAAACAATATCAGGGAAAAACTGAATAACACGTGTAATGCCCGAGGGTAGACCGTTCTGTCCAGCCGTCTCCTCCGCGCCTCTCTCTGAGTTGGGACTCCGCGGACTGGAAAACGCTATTGTTTTCTCCTCCCCGGAAAGACTGGGTGACGTCTTTCTTTTAGCCAAACAGCAGGGAGCAGCACCGGTGGTGTATCAAAAAGCAACTCGCGAACGACACACACACACACACACAGCTGGCGTCTTTTTCATTTGTCAGCCGGTTAGCACAACCAAAGATACGCACACGTAGCAAGATTTCGCGCAGAGAGGACGTCTTTCGTAGAACGCTTTATCCTGCGGAGGCTTCCGTGCAAGGAAGCTGCAGCAGATTGGGAGCACGTCGTGCTCAAAAGAGAGGAAGGGCTTTTAACCCAAAACTTGACGATCCCGGATCTTCAATTTTATGGGAAAAGAAAACCGAGAACGAAACACACACACAACACACACCTTTGGCCCACAGCCGAACGAGGAAGAAACCTACAGGTTGCGACTAGCTCTGGGCGGGGCCCAGCCGGGGCGGTTTAGCATGGCAGGTATGCACAAAGATGCGGATGGATGAAGATCGTAAAACCCGTAGAACAAAAGTGACCCGTTCTCTAGCACACACATACACCAACACCAAGAAACTATTCCGTGCCATGTTGGCTGCTGCTGCAGCTGCTGCCCGAGCCGGCCAGCGCACACCGCCCTCAGCTCCTTCCTTGCACATACGAACCACCGTTGCATACAAACTCGACACCAATTGCGGGTTTGATGAAAATACGTCCCGCTCTGCGACAAGGCATTTGATGCCTCTGTACAATAACAACAAAAAAAGAAAGTTTACTCCCGCTGACAGCGTTGCCTGCCCCCGGCTGCCGACGCCCGCCTTCTACATGAACAAAATCGAGAACAACCTCCAGGTTTGACATACAGACGCAGGCCCTCTGTAGGGCGGGTATGCGCCTGACCGACTCATCTGCTTCACACAGGGCACCCGCCATAGTCAATGTAATAACCGTCTTGAATATCCCATCTGTGCCAGTCAATTTCACCCGCCCTACAACAACCACCTGCCTTGTAGAGGATCTAAGACTGCACTTGTACTTCCAAGTGCAATCTTGTAGTGTACCTCATTTGACAAGGTTGCCTCTACTCCGATTAGAATCCAAAATCTAGACATGAAGTTGGGCCCAACGTAAGGTTTGCCCATCACCGCCCCCCCCCCC